GAGAAACCAGAGGCATGCTGGGTAAAGTGAGAGCAGACAGCAGGTGACACACCTGAGAAACCAGAGGCATGCTGGGTAAAGTGAGAGCGGGTGTGTGTTTTGTTGTGGATCTTTAACATCGAGCTCTTTCACCTCAACGTCTCATCAGAATGTCGACATGCAGAGTTTTAAGTTCAGACAGACGAATGGAAGTTTGTTGTTGCAGCAACTTATGATTCAACAAGAAACTTTCCTTGTTTTTTGAGCTCGTCTTTCACTTTGTCATCAGAAAATCATTTTGCACTTCCCTCCAGATTGTATATTTACATATTATTTCATGTTAGGTTTTTACATATCTTCATATTTTTTAACATTTATTTGACCTAATCCTGATTTTTTAACAGTGACTCGGCTGTTAATCCAACTCTCTGTCTGCTCACTCAACACATGAAGAAGAGGATGGAACAAGGAAGAGGAAACAAGAGAGCGAGGAGGAAACAAAAACCTCTGAGTTCATGTGAGGACTCAAAAGAGAACAACCTCTCAACTGTTCTCAGGAAGATGAACGCCCACGTTGCATCATCTATTCTGTAGAAATCTCTCCAGAGGTGCTGACATATTAAACATGTTTGATCCTGCAGGTGTTTGCTGACAGCAGACCAGCAGGACGAGACCAATGGCTTCTATTGATTCTATTCTATTTATTCTAACTGAAAAAGAAGAAAAGAACTGGAGTTCATCAGGAAGAAGAAACAACGTCCTCTGCTTCTTATTGCATTATTATTAGTATTATTATTATTATTATTGTTTTTATTGTTGTTTTTACTATTATCATTTCATTATTACTATTATTATCATTTCATTATTATTATTATTGTATTATCATTATTTAATTATTATTTGTTATTATTATTAAAATAATAATAATAATTAACATTACTAACATTATTATTATTAAGTATCACACTTAAAAAAATGTAATAATAATAAAGAATAATCAAATTATAACAATAATTAGTATTGTTGATGAAATGTATCAAAGTACATCTACTCAGACAAGTACTGTACATATTCCAAGTACTTGTACTTTATATTTAATTGTATTTACATGTTTCTGCTTCTTGATACATCTCAGAGGAAAATATTGTACTTTTTACATCTTTAGTTAGTTTTCATATTTGAATCTGTTCTCTGCAAACAGGTGATGATCTGATRGAATATGAAGCATTGATGGAGAATAAACCAGCCGACCGGATATAAAAGAGTTAACATGCAGCTCATTAATGCAGCAGGAATATTAATCCATAAACACCTGATAGATCAGGAAAACATTTTACTGATCAATCAATACTATAACTACATTTATATCATTTTACTGATCAATCAATACTATAACTACATTTATATCATTTTACTGATCAATCAATACTTTAACTACATTTATATCATTTTACTGATCAATCAATACTTTAGCCTACTCATACTGGTAGTATTTCTGAGTGAGGTATTAGTACTCTTACTGGTAGTGTAGTATTTCTGAGTGAGGTATTAGTACTTGTACTGCAGTACACATGTGAATACTTCAGTGTGCACATCGTGAGCTCGTAAACAGCAGCTCTTGTTTCTCTGCAGGAGGTCGACGCCCTGAGAAACGCTGCAGCTCTAAGAACTGAAGGGAGCGCGAGGAGGCTGCTGATCAATAATCAATAATCAATCAGCGACCTGCATTACACACATATACACATATATATAATGACTACTGATAACACATGTAGATTTATTTATATATATATATATATAAAATGATTTATGATAATAAATAAATATATATTTGTAGATATAAATATATATTTGTACACATATATATATATATGTATATAAATATTTATATGTCCTCACCTCCATCAGTCGTCGTCACAGACCGAGTCAGGAGACAGAGGCACGCGAGAAGAAGCACGTTCATCGTTGTTGAAGTCGACCGGAAGTCAAACTGCTCGGTGACGTTCGTTTTGCGGACCTTTTAACTTCTTCTGATCGCGCGAGGACCAACTCACCAGAAACACTTTCGGTTCTCAGCTTCCGCCTCGCGCTCTTCTGTCGGGAAGTCTTCGGGTTCACTCGGCAGGTTCGTGCGCACGAGAGAGCTCTGGGTTCCCGATGCATCATGGGTGTTGTAGTTTAGGATGTCAACAATGCTCGTGTTTTTAAAGTGCACGTGACAAAAGATGACTTTGAACTTTTCATAAACCATAAAGTGTGACTGCCTGAGAATCTGGAGAACAATGTTATTATATTATGATATATTACAATATCTTTATGTGAGATCTGAAGATCATTGTATGTTGTTTTGTGCTGCATTATATATATAATGATATAATATATACAGTTTGTCATTGTGACGACCCCTCCCTTCCACCAGGGCTCTGTGTCCTGTTTCCAGGACACAGGATGGTAATCTGCTGCTGATGAGCCACACCTGAGCCTGCTGGACGTGTCAGCTATAAAGGCTGCCCCTCTTCATTGGCTGTGGACGGCAGGCAGGCAGGCAGGCATTGATTGATTGATTGATTGTTTAGTTAGTTAGTTAGTTAGGTTTAGTTAGTTGTACTTTAAATAAATGTCTATTTATTACTTTTATCACTCGTCTTGTCTCCCTCATGTTACAACTTTTTGAGCCGGGTCGTGACAGTCAACATTAAATAAACTCAAATAAAAAGGTCTTTCTGATTTTTCTTGGAGGAAAATTTTAAATAGTCGAAGGAAGAAGGAAGAGGAAACAAGGGAGGAGGAGGAACTAACCCTCTTAGGTTATATGAGGACTCAAGACAACAACCTCTCAACTGTTCTCTGGAAGATGCACGCCCACATTACATCATCTATTCTGCAGAAATCTCTCCAGGTGCTGACATATTTAACATGTTGTCTAACACTCCTCACCCTCTTCTTCACCGTCACCGTCACCGTCAACACAATCAGGTCCATCCTGATGTATGATCAATGAAATCACCTCAGCTTCATTGCCATTGAGATACAGAAAGTTTAACTCTGGAATATTTATGAAATATTCCTCATCTCACAAGAGAAAATCTTGTAAAATCTTGTAAAATGTCAAAGTTGTTTTTGAACGTGAGGGAAGTGAAAAACGTGTTTTCCAAACGTCTGATGAATCTTAATTATATTCCCGTAATGACGACACAGAGTCGGTCTGTGATGGAGGAACCAAGAAAGAAAGAAAAGACTCTGCACATAATTAAATATGTGTATTTAAAATGTACATTTTGTGTAACGTCTAATCAACACTTGGTCAGACTAAGTGATTCAGTCATCTGAAATACTGGATTGTTAGTATTAGCATTATTTAAAGTTGAATAGCGGGACGGGGGTCCGTGCATGAAGTATAATTGATTTCCCATCGTTCACGTTGTATCATGAACAATGTCAGTTCATTGTTATTAATAACCTCATTGGTCTACTTGTGTTCATGTGAATGTGTTCTGCTACGTGTGAGGTCGTGTTCACAGCCGATGCTGCCTCAACGTTCACGTTTTGTCTTCTCTGTGTTATCATCGCATTGAATGATCACGTGCACCAAAGCTCAGCTCGTTCTGTTATTAGACTTTAAGAATGAAAAGTGAGTGAAGGAAGTCAGCTCGCCTTCAAAGTAAAAGTTGTGCGTTTTCAGTTAACAAAGTTAAATTAAATAAATAAATGTTGTAAATAATAAACATAACATATAACTGTTATAAAGTCATATTTCTGCTACTTTCCCTTCATTGAACGCGGCTGAAAAGCCCTTCAATCAGCCCCACGAGGCCCAGCAGCAGGACCCACCGGTGGGCTCCTGGTCCTTACATTTGTGACCTTCGAAACAGCGGTTGAAAATAAAATCAACAAGTTAATGAAGTGTCTGTTCTGTGGCTTTTAATCATCAGTGATTTTCATCAGCACATGTGGTTTTCCCCATTTTTCATGTAAATGTATGAGAGAAGTCCTTCAACCTGACAGCAGCCATTACAGTGAACTATAATCCGTCCAGAACACAGAAAGTACATTATTAATGCCGGGATGTTCGAAAAATAATACTCGACACCAAGTGTGAAATCAATAATCAGGAGATGTATTCCTGCAGGAAGGAGCAGAGCTGTATCACAGTCTGTCTCTCAGTCTCTGTCCTTCACACACTGAGATAGACACAGCTTCATGACAGGGTGAAGGGTTGAACAGGTTTGAACCGGTTCTTCCTCTGAAACAGACGTCGATGGTTGGACTGAGTGCAGGTGCGTTATCCGTCTTCCAAGACATTCTGTGGGTTGAAAGGTCACGGCTGTATTGAAACAGTCTGTTTCTAAGCATCATGGAAAAGCATTATGCACATATTCTGTATTTCTCCAACATGTCCCCTGTTTATACTGAATATAACACATGATAATAATGCAAATACATAATAAGGCAAAGAGTAAGCATTGGATACGTGTTTTAAATATAACTCCAAATACATAAAACAATTAATAAAAACGTCTATGAATATAAACATAGCACAGGAAGTAAGGACATGTGTGTTTGGTAGATTATGTCTTTGTTGCTTCTTTGGCAATAAATCTTCTACCGTTGGAAAGCCTCTTGATTTCCCTTTTAAAAGGCCTCATGTGTGGGATGAGCAGCAGAGCGGAGTATGTGGGTTGTGGTCCGTTTGATGACCTTGATGAGGACCCAGTCTCCTGGTCTGGACTGGACTAGACTCGTCCTGAGTGGGGAGAACAACAGAAGAAGTAATCTCTTTTCTTTCTTTTTAACATGTTTTCTGCTGTATTTCCTCCCATGTGCTCATCTTGTCTGACTAAGTCTAAGTTGGGTGAGATAGTGAGGTCTGCCATCGAGTCTTAATTAGTTATTAATTATAGTATAGTAATACTCTACTACGATGTGCATACTAAGCATTACCGGAGCTAAACGTTGTACCAGTTCTTTCCTGTCTCAGCCATCGTTTATCTCACTTTTGATTTGATTTTGTTCCTTCAATCAACCCTGCTGACTGATCAGAGAAATTATATTTCATGTTTATTCCAAATACTTCAGCCAAATCTTTTATTATTTTGTTGACAAAGTGTGAACCGTTATCACAATAAATATATTCTGGTATAATGTCTTTTGTTCGGGCTTTAGCTACCGTGATAGCATCTGGTGTTTGGTTGGAAATACCTCGATCCATTCAGAACATCTGTCTGTTATTGGTTTAGTTCAATGAAGTCCATGCAAATGTGTTGAAATGGATGTTCTGGTTCTGGTAGTTTACCCCTCGCTGGTCTTTGTTGGCCTTGAGGATTATGTTTTGCACATACAGCATGCTAGACAAACATAGCTTGAGTAGTTTGTGAGCCATCTGCTGTAAAGACTGTTTATCATCGGTTCCATCCCTCCTGTGGAGACATGCTCTGACCCGTGGGTATCTGAAGTCTTTGGTACTAGTTTGCCTTCAGCTCATCTCCAGAACCCATCGCTGTCTGTTTTGCAGTTTTGTTTTTGCCAGTAAGTGCTCTCTTGTTCTGGAGCATTTGTTTGCATGTTTTTAAGATTTCATGGTCGAGGTGCTGCACTTCAGGAGGAAGCTGGTCGTGTGGTTTCTGTGCAGCTTTCTTAGCTTCCTCATCAGTTCCCGTTGTGTGTGTTGTGTTTACAGACTGCTGCTTCCTGAGGCAACTGTACTGCATCAAGTGTAAGATCACATCTCTGTGTGGTTGG